TTGGGGGTGTATATATTTTGGAGTATATATTTTGTATTTGGTGAGTGGAGTCTCTCCCTCTCTGCTTTCTGATCATCATGTGAGCTGCTTCCCTCCACCACACTCTTCCACCACAATATTCTGCCTCACCTCCAGCCCTAAGGAATGGAGCCAGCTGCTATAGACTGTCTATAGACTAAGACCTATGAAACTGAAACCAAATAAACTTATTCTCCTCTAAAATTGTTCTTGTTAGGTCTTTTGGCCAAAGCAATGAAAAAGATGATTAAAACGATCCCTTTACTCTGTTTCACCAAACATTTATTTATCACATACTGTATGGCATGCAAAACTATTCCAGGTTCTATGGGTACTGCTCCTCGGTGGCTCACTTTTAGAGAGAAAGGGACAAATACAGGAACAGAGGGTTATAGATCATAGCAGCTGTTACCTATGTGGGAAGTACTCAAGGTATCAGAGCATCCAGGAGCCCACCTAACCCCCATGTAGGAGTGAGGGGAGACTTTTTGGAGGAGACCACTGTGAGCTAAGTCTTAAGGGTTTACAGGAATGATTCTGATGATGAAAAGGCAAAGTAATTCCACATAAAAAAGCAACTTGAGTGAAAAAAAATTTAAAATATGAGAGAGCATGGATTATTGAGGAACTGTAAGTAATTTGGTATGACTTGAGCTCAAATCCAAGATGGAAAGTAGAAGGAGATGATGCTGAGAACACATAAATGTCTTTTATTATAAAGGACCTTGCATGGCACGCCATGAGAATTTGAACATGGGGAGGGCATAGAGGATTGTGAATGACTCAGGTTTCCAAATTGGGCCACTGGTAGGTGGTGGGGACACAGGGCACAATGTGGAAGGAGTAGCTTCAGATGATAGTGGTGAGTTTTATGTTTTGACACAGTGAGTGTAGACATGGCTTGGAGGCAATTAGGTGTGAGTCTGGAGATCAGAAGAGAACTCTTTCAGGATAGCGGACTTGGGAGTTGTCAACATATAGGTATAATTATAGGTAGGGTTGAATCTAACTCCAGAGAAAGTGTAGCATCATGGGAAGAAAGTAATCCAAAGGAAGAATTGTCTTTAAAGAATAAATCGGTGGAGGAGGAAAACCCTGTAAAAGAAATTGGTAAGGAACAGTCAGTGTTAGGAAAGAAAGCAAGAAAATCTTCTGTCATAGGAACAAGAAAAAAAGAAGTTTCAAGAAAAAAGGTTTTGGACAACAGTAAAGGAAGGCATGATTTAATAAACAAGATGATCATTACTTTTATGGAGCGTATTGCTCAACAGCAGAAAGAACATGACAGTTACTGTGTTTGAGCATCTGCTTGGTGTATCAGGCACTGTGCTAGGCACATTTTGTATGTCACCACATTTAAGTTGCACATGAGCAAATTAGAGAAGAGGAAACTAAAACTTGGACTGATTAAGTGACTTGTCTGAAGCCAAGCTTTTATCTAGTGCTTGTCAGATCTAAATTCCTTGTCCTAAGACAATGCGAATAATAAGGAGAAGATACAAAACAAAGCAGAATTTTTTCCAGGTTGTGTCTTACCTTTAACCTCTGTTTAATCAGCAATTGATGAGGTGGATTATATTTCACTGTAATCATAAATTCTTTGACTCATATGTGTTTTTAAAATATTTTGTTTTAGTTGTAGTTGGACACATACTTCTATTTTATTTTTATTTTTATGTGGTGCTGAGGAGCGAAGATCCACACATGCTAGGCGAGTGCTCTGCCTTTGAGATACAACCCCAGCCCCTTGACTCATGCATGAATACATTAAAAAGAAGTAGATCAGTGTTGTTGTTGTTTTTTTTCCCAATGCTGGAGGTTGAACCCAGAGCCTCACACATGCCGGACTAATGCTCTACCACTGAGCTACATCCCCAGCCCAGATCAGGGTATTATAATGGAATTTACATGGTCCCTACCACTAGGAAAGACATTCCAAACATTTAATAACTGCTAGGACATGGGAAGAGACCTGTCAAAAAGATTGCCTCTCTTCTGGAGCATAGCCCTCCAGGTCCCTGCTGTGGTAGGCAGTACCCTTTAGTTTCTGGGTGGGGGAAACTTTTGGGCAGTTGAGGAAAGAACCCAGAGCAGTGGTTATCAACTGGTGAGGAGTAGTTCAGTGATTTAACAGCCAAAATGGCCACCCTGTGCATATTAACTTAATGTCCTCTTATTTTAGGTAAGTTGGAGAAATACACATTAAGAACCCTGTCCCCATATCTGTACTGTATAAGTAAGAACCATATGTTGGGATCACACTCAACATATGGTTCTTACTTATACAGTGCAGATATGGGGACAGGGTTCTTAATGCGTATTTCTCCAACTTACCTAAAATGAGAGGAATTTTTTTAAAAGCAGAGATTAATTTCAAGTGTCACTTACCTGGTAAAGTGACCACTATCCTCAATGGGTGAGAGACGGCAGAGGCCCTGGCTGGGCTATTTGTGGGTAGGGAATTTCTGTCATACACTTCCACTTCACACTCATACTTTCCTGTCTCTTCCTCAGAGGCATCATGGATGAGGAGTTGAGAACGAAATGAAGACTGTGAAACCTTCGTCTTCTTTTGGAACTGGGACAGGGAATCCCCCCATTCGATGATGCCGTTGTGAGCGACTCGAATTAGCTGACGAAAGGCTTGAGACCCATCTGGCTGGAACCGCCAGCTCATAGTGAGAGGCGGTCTGAGGTCAGAGTAGTCAGCCCCCGCTATGCAGGACAGGTCAAAGGTGTCCCCTAACTTCACTTGTGGCTGACGGCTCAGCAGATTAACTTGTAAACTTGAGTCTGCAGACAGAAAAGTGAAACACAATTTCTAACATGTTTACCAAGTCAAAGGGCAGATCTTTCGAGCTTTTTAGTGCCATCTTCACACGGGACTGTGCACCCATCCATTCCGAGGGCTGTGTATTTGGGGGCAGAAGCTGATTCACAGTTCAGTCTGTCCTGAAGGCTGATCTAGTGTTCCCAAGCTGACCTACCATGGTTCTCAGCCCTGACAACAAACGGGCAGTGTTTCTCCAGTCTGCAGCTTGGACAGCTGCTGCCTGGGGGTGGAGCGCTAGGGCCCCTGTGGTCTGGCCTTCTTCCTCCCGCCCCCTCACCCTGCTCCTGGGGGAAGGGTCAGTCTCTCTTGCCCATGCCAGAAGAGACTCCAGTAGGCCAGGCCTGCAGCTGTCATAAACTGTAAAGTGTAAGGTTCGGGACACTCTCCAGGTGGACTCCAAATCATAGGACTTTCTTTTTAACCAGGAACAACAACCTATGAGTTGCACTCTAAAGATCATCCTTGTAAAGATAAATCAATTTTAGAGGTTAACTGACAGACCTGGTAGCCTGAGACTGGGCTCTGTGTTCCTGAGGTACACATTTGCTTCCTGGGGCATTCAGAATGATACCCAACCGGATTGCACCTCCAGAAGAAGGTACTGATGTGCAAGTTCAGAAAAGGGTTTCTTGGGCACTTACTCAGAGATCTGATGGTGACTGAAATCTTGTGCGTCCAGTGCCGACCTCTGGCCTGGTTCTGGGACCCTTCGGACACTCTGCACTCATACATACCGCTGTCCGAGACAGTGCTGGAGGTGATCTCCAGCTGGAAGGTGGCCCAGTCCAACTTCACCAGCCTCGTGTTGCCATGGTAACTGGGGTCCCCAGAGGAGACACCCAACTGCACAGTGCCATCCTGCGCCATGCCAGCCACAAGCTTGGGCTGGGTCTGGTCCTGTGGGATGTGCCACCAGGTCACGGATAGAGGACTCTCAACCCCATCGGCCTTGCAGAGAAGGGCAAGCGCCTCTCCTTCCCACACAGCTTGCTGTCTGGTAGATATGACCACGCTTCTTGCTGTGGATTACAGATTTGAGAAGAAAAAAGTGTTTCGAGTAAACAAAAATATTTTCTGAGATGCAGTGAAATCTCATGACTGAGGACTTGACTAGCTTGAGACAAATCAGATTGGGCTGTTTCTTCACTTTCAGGAAAAATGTCTGCTAAACCTTAAAAAGGCAAACAAATCAGCAGAATGACTACCAGGAGAAACTACTTGCACTCAAACAATTTCTAGTTTGCATATATTTTAAAAATCATTTTGTTAAATCAGCCTTTCCTAAAGAATAGGTAGTTGGGCAAACATCCAATAATATTTTGTTAGATTAATTAGGGTGGGTGTATGAGCCTGAAAATAATGAAGCTGTGCTCATTTAAATTTTTAGTTTTTTAGAATTTAGCCTTCAGAATTCAAAATGATCTTTTTCTTGCTATGTATCCTTCCCTAATCAGCCCTAATTAGTTTAGGATGTGTCTTATACAGAACAAAACATTGTTAATTAGATCTCTGCTCATAATACTGTCATAAAAAATAATTACTTGGGGGAAAATTATATGCATACATATGTATGTGTGTGTGTGTGTGTGTGTGTGTGTGTGTGTATAATCTATCTATCATCTGTTTTAAATGGGGAACCTGCTTATGTCCAAATTATGGTGTAAGATGACAAATGTAAGGCCAGCGCCCCAGTGGGAAATCCAAGGTGTGTAGAAATGCAGACTTGGATTCGACAACTGCTTATTGTGTAAAGTCTCATCCTGGTTGCTTTGTGGGCAATGCAGAGATACATGAGGGATACATCAGGAGCTCCTGCATCCTAAGCAGCTGGCACCAAGTTTAAGACCAAGACCCCTGGAGTCAGAATTACCCTGGGCAACACACTTGACCTCTCTGAGCCTTAGTTTTCTTTCCCATAGAAATGAGGGTAGTAATAGCACCCACCTTATTGCATCTTGAGAAGATTGAGCAAAGGGTATACATAGAGGGCTGAGGCCAGCTGGCTAGGGAAAGTACTTGGTAAAGTTTAGCTATTTGCTTTAGTGTTTAATAAGAGGCACTGGCAAAAGCAGAGGTAGTTCAAAGCAAAAAAGAAAAACAAAATAGAATTAGCATATTAGACATGTAAGGAGGAACTCAATGAATCTGCAAATTGCTTTTCCCTGTGGAGGAAGGACTTTAGTCTTTAGCTGTTTTATGAACACATATGCATAAGTTATAAAGGCAAAAAGAAGGTTAGTGTCCGTAAATAGGTTAAAAAAATAATGACAAACCTGCTTCTAAATTTTGGATATTGGAGGTATGATTATGCTTTAGATTTGTTTTCCATATAAAAATGATTCAATGACTCACAATAGAAATTTAGAAATTGGAGGGGAAATTATTACTCATAGTCTCGTCACTTTAACATAACCAATATGACTAGATTAAACTAACATCATTTTTTTAATTAAGTTTTTTTAATTCATTGTGGTCATTAGTGCCTTAAAGGAAGAAACAATAAATTCACTAAGTGTGTGTAAGTTACACATTCACAGTGATAGTGGATGCCCCCTTCTGTTTAAAATATTCATAGAATGATAAAACTCTGCTCATACTTCAAACAATGGTTTGACTTTCAAAACAGAATGTTAAATAAGATCCTTAATAAATATGCTAATAAGTTTTCCTATCGCTACACATTAGGCCCAGCAGCTTGGACTCCAGTCTATGCAAAGGATTATTTTTAGCTTTGGAAGATAACCCCACTGATAGGATTATGAGCTGCAGACCACGAAGCACACTTTTGGACCTTTTTGGCACAAATTCCCACATACTGGGCTTAAGAAAGGTTGCTGATATGTTCCGGGGAGGTTGAGAAACACAAAGGAGAGATTTAGCTCCGTGTGAATATATAAACCTGCCTACATTGTTTTTCTGCATCCTAGAAAGTTAGACCAAATGTTTAGAGTGAAAACGACACCAACACCCTTCCTGGCCTATCACTCCAGACTGGAGTTTGTGCATCTTCATTCCCAGCCAGTGGGGAGATGGAGAAGAACACAAAAGGGAAATTTATCTATCCTTGGAAATGCCTCTAATGAGCAAGTGCAACAAGAATAGCTTTATCCTTAGTTTCATTCTTTAAATTTTTTTTTTTTTAAATTTTGTTTTGCTTTTTGGCAATTATTTCTTTCTAGACTTTGAATTTAACACTCAGCCCAGAGAATCCTAAAATCAGTTGTGAATTTGTCTGTTTTCACTCCACACAAAGAGCGCTGATTATTCAAACATGTTTAAGGTCAGCCAAACTTCACAAAGCAAAAGCAAACGGAGTGGCTATCTTGGTCTGTTTTGTGTTGCTTTAACAAAATACCTGAGGCTGGGTAACTTAAAAAGTAAATAGATTTATTGTGCTCAAGGTCAGCTGGTAATTGGAGGGTCCATTCAGCATGGTGCTGGCTTCCTGGCAAGGGCCCTCTGGCTGCATTGGAACACAGCAGAGAAGCAGAAAGGGAAGTAGAAGGGGGGAGTGGATGGGGAGGCCTCACTTTATAATCATCCACTCTCCCAAAATAACATCAATGTGCTCACAAGGGTGTTCCCCGTGATTTCATTACTTCAGCATTGCCACACTGGGGGCCAAACTTTCAGCACATGAACCATTGGTTTATAGGACTAACCATGTCACATCAATGGCAGTGGCTTTCCCTGTTTCACACATCCAGACACTCAGACATCTCACCACCTAACACCAAAGGGCAGGGAACTGAGACGGACGCCCTCATTTTCCTCTTCATTTCTCAAGTGAGTCACAATTATGAGTAAGTATGATTCCCCACAGCAGGTTCCTGTAACAGGGGACCAACAGAAGGCCCCTGAAAGATATCAGCCCAGACTCAAGGTCAGTTAATGTGGTTGTTTATTCCCAAGAAAGAGGGACAAAGTGGAGCTAACCCTTTACTCTTTTATTATTATTATTATTATTATTATTATTATTATTTAGTTTTGGATGAAACTTTCTTTAATTTTTTATTTATATGTGGTGCTGAGGATCAAACCCAGTGCCTCACACATGCCAGGCAAGCGCTCCACCACTGAGCCACAGCCCAGCCTGCCCTTGACTCTTAACCCACTCATGTCCGCCCCCTCCCCTGCCACGCACCCACAAGTACACACAAAGACAGAGGGCTTCATTAATACAGGTTTTCAAGAGAAACTCGATTATAAAAATGAGCCCTAACAAGTCGGGCATACTGGTGCATGCCTATACTCCTAGCTACTTGGGAACCTGAGGCAGGAGGCAGGAGGATCACAAGCATCAAGACCAACTTGGGCAACTTAGTTAGACCCTGTCTAAAAATAAACTTTCAAAAGACCTGGAGACTTGGCTCAGTGGTAGAGCACTTGCCTAGCTCGCATGCACGAGACCCTGGGCTGAATCTCCAGTACCATCAAAGAAAAAAAGAACAGATGGAAAATAAATAGAATCCAAGGGTCTAAAGCAGCCCGAAGGGACTTGACCATGTAATTGTGTGTGCCATCATTTTACAGAGGAAGAAGTTGAGATTTCGAGAAATAAAGAAGCGTGTCCATAGTCAGGGCCCACTTAATGGCTCAGAAATGGGATCCAGAGACTTCCTGCTTCCTTTTTTCCCCTCCACTCCACCTCCAGCATGGTCTGATTGGCATCCCACTCTCAGGGAAGACCTCCACTGTGCCCATGAAGCAGAGGGGGGGCGGGTCTGCCCGGTCCCAACTTCACATACCTGCTGGCTCCCTCAGGCGCACGTGGCTGACTGGTGACTGCTCCCTCTGAAGCACCTGCCAGGAGCCGGTCGGAGCTCTCACCACCTCTGCCACTGCACAGCTGTAGTCGCCTTCATCCTCTGGGCCCGCAGAGAAGATCTTGAGAGAGAAAGCCTTCGGGTTCATCTTGGAAACCTGGAGCCGTCCTTGACTCGCTCTGTCTTTGTAGCCCATCCTCAGGTCCAGGACTCCACGGGCATCCATGCTGGCGATTTCAGTCCCATTGAGGAACCAGAAGCCCTGAAGCTGCGGGTCCCGCACGCTGCCCACCACCAGGCAGACCAGCTCCAAGGGCTTCCCTTCGGCAGACGTGCTCTCAGCTGTGATGCTGACTTTAAAATCTCTCCCTGCCGACCAAAGCAAGGCAGGTGTTTAGAAGGCCCGCTGCATCTGTCCTGTCTGAACCAGAGGTGAGACCCCAGGACAGAGACCACGGAGACTGCATTTTATGTGGTGGTTCAGCTCTACAGTTCAGGTAAGCTCGTCAAGGGCCCCCCAAATTAGAGTAAAACATGCCCATGACTATTTCTTAAGACAGGAAAAAACAAAACAAAACAAAACAAACAAACAAACAAAACAGCACACATGATTTTCTGAAGGCAACCCTAGGAAGCAAGAAGTCTGCACAGATATATAAAGTATACAGTTAAGTATGCATTTTAAATTAAAAAAAATAAAATCGTTTTGATAGGTGGGATTATTGTAAATGATGATGTCTTTCTCTCTCACTCTCTCTTTTCATTTGGGCACTGGGGATTGAACCCAGGGCCTCGTGCATGCTGAGTAGGCACACTACCACTGAGCTACACCCCAGCTCTTATTTCTTTCTCTCTCTTTTTTTGGTCTGGAATATCCAGTGGAATTTTCCTAAGTTGAAAGTGTAAATGATGTGGTTCCACAAGGACTCACTGAGGTACCTGAGGCCAACAGGACCATTTTATAACGGAAGGGAATAATATGCTTCTTAAAAAAGAAAGAGCACTTCAATGACCCACCACTGGATCAATACTTTTAGCAATGGGTATATACGGTTTTAGCAACTCCCTCCTATTGGATCCAAGCCTCCATAGAAAGACCAGAAAACAGACAAGTTTCTTCTGCCTACTTTGACAAAAAAATGTCAGTGGATCATGAGGCGTGATGCCATTCCAACATGGACAGGGGTTCAAGTGGAAGGAAATTTTAGCACCGACAGAGACAAGATGTCCTGCTGGAACCTGGAACACCATTGAGGCCCAGCTGTGGTGGTTGGTGGGCTTTGCAGAGAGACTGGTTTGCCTTTGAATGCCAGCCCCTGAGCTAACGAGGGGGGTGACCTCAGAGAAGCATTAGCATTGGCTTCAGTTTTCTCATTTTTAAAATGGGAGTTGACTCCTTACCTCATAGGGTGAACTGTAGGACTCAGTTAAACAATGTAGATAACGTGCTTACAAAGTGCCTGGCAAAAATGGTACCGAAACCACGGCTATCTTGTGGAATCAATCTGACTTTTATGGGATATTTTTCGGGGGAGTGGGTACTAGAGTTGGAACTCAGGAGCACTCTAGCACTGAGCTACATCCCCAGCCTTTTTTATTTTTCAGTTTGAGACAGGGCCTCACTAAGTTGCTCAGGCTGGCCTCAACTTGTGATCCTCCTGCCTTAGCCTCCCAAGTCACTGGGATTACAGGCATGTGGTACCATGCCTGGCTCAATCTAACCATGTAACATGCCTTGTCCCATATAGAATCTCCTATGAACAAAGCCAAAATGAGCATCCTTCTTTTTAGTTATGCTGCCTAGATGACAAAAACAAAAAAGGTTCAAATTTTCTAGCTAAGCAATCAACAGTCTACCTAAGATTAAAAAAAAAAAAATAGAAAGTTGTTCGATACATACTCAGTCCTAGTGAATTCACATATTTCCCGAGATGATAATTACCTGCTGGCTGGACCCTCAGGGTTGTTTGATCTGTCTCCTTTTTCGTGATGAATGTCCAGGTTTCATCTGGATCCTGGATCCACTCGGCTGCTTCACAGAACAGTCTGCCTTGATCTGAGGGCTGGAGATGGCCTATGGACAGTCTGAAGGTGGCAGTCCCAAGCTTGTCGAGCCGAACATCACCAGCGGCAAACCTCTTTGCATATGAGGGCCCAGGGGTCAATACAAAATCTCTGGAGAGAGAAATAATGCTGGTGGCTTGGCTCCCCCCTCCTTCCTGCATCAGGTACCAGGTGATGGAGAGATGAGTATGTTGAGCTGTGGCTTTGGATGCGTCACAGGTAAGTTCTAGAGGCTCACCTTCCTCCTTCCTGAGAGTCTGGGAACTCATGGTGGCAGAGAGGGTATCTGGAATGACTGGAAACAAAGGAATGATGATAACCGGATGCGCCCACACTTGTCCAATTGGCCTCTGTAGGTGGAGAGGGTGCATCTTCTGGGTTGCCAATGGGAACATTGGCATTTGTGTTCCTTTGGAACTTGACAAAGCAAATATCTCAGTGCCGTATGGACCCTGGCTTTGTGTCATTAGCATAAGCTATAACCAATTTAGCTACTCCACACAGAAAGCTTATAGGGGAAAACCAACCGATAGCGACCAGACCTAGATTTTGACCCTGATCGTCCATCTAACTAACTACATGAACTTGGGCACAACAAAAATATTTCTATGGGCCTTAACCTGCTTCTTGTGAAATAAAAATTCTGAAATCTCTGCTATGAGTTACCATTCACAGCTAAAAGGCCATCCTTATCTAAGTTTCTGTAACTCTCCTACTACCCTACCATTTTTTTTCTTCCTCAAATGAAATTGAACAGCGGAAACTCACGTGAAGGCAACTCTTAGACTGAGTCATTTAATATGGCTGAGCATCTTACTCGATGCCAGCATTGTGGTAGGAGCTGAGATGAGCATTCTCTTTCTGAGAAGCTCAGAATGTGGTGGGAAAGGTAGGTACACAGAGCTAGTTGCCTTACCATACCTGGGTGAGTAGTAAAGACAGTGGTGTGAATTGAGCATGGAGAGGAATGACAGAGGGGGCACTGCCTGAGTGCCCACTACGTGGTGCCATGGAAGAGGTAATAACACTGCCTCCTGAAGTAAATGTAGGTGTTTGCTAAGCTAAAAAGGTGCTGGTATTGGGCTGGAGTCGTGGCTCAGTGGTAGCGCACTTGCCTGGTATGCGTGAGGCGCTGGGTTCGATTCTCGGCACCACATATAAATAAATAAAATAAAGGTCCATCAACAACTTTAAAAAATATGTATATATTGGAAAGCAGTATGGAGATTCCTGGGAATGGATCCACCATTTGACCCAGCTATCGCCCTTCTCGGACTATTCCCTGAGGACCTTAAAAGAGCGCACTATAGGGATACGGCCACATCAATGATTATAGTGGCACAATTCACAATAGCTAGATTGTGGAACCAACCTAGATGCCCTTCAATAGATGAATGGATAAAAAAAATGTGGCATCTATACACAATGGAGTATTATGCAGCACTAAGAAATGACAAAATCATAGAATTTGCAGGGAAATGGATGGCATTAGAGCAGATTATGCTAAGTGAAGCTAGCCAAGCCCTAAAAAACAAATGCCAAATGTCTTCTTTGATATAAAGAGAGCAACTAAGAACAGAACAGGAAGGAAGAGCATGAGGAAAAGACTAACAGTAAACAAAGACGAATGGGGGGAGAGAAAGGGAGAGAGAAGGGAAAGCAATATGGAAATGGTAGGAGACCTTCAATGATACACAAAATTATAAGAGGTTATGAGGGGCAAGGGGGAGGGAAAAATAGGGGAGAGAATTGAACAACAGTAGAGGAGGTAGAGAGGGAAGATGGGAGGGGAGGGGAGGGGAGGGGGGATAGTCGGGGATAAGAAAGGTAGCAGAATACAACAGTCACTAATATGCCATTATGTAAAAATCTGAGTATGTAACAGATGTGATTCTGCAATCTGTATTTGGGGTAAAAATGGGAGTTCAAAACCCAATTGAGTCAAATGTATGAAAGATGATATATCATGAGCTCTGTAATGTTTTGAACAATCAATAAAAAAATATGAATGTGCATATAAATTCAAAAAAAATATGTATATATAAAAAGGTGCTGGTATTTCAGGCAAAGTTTTCGAGGATCCTCTCCCATGGGTGAATGTGTTGGAGAATGGTCATTTGGGAATAATCATTTCCAAGTTATGGACAGATCACCTGTGATATTAATACCAGATCTCTTACCAATTTACTGTTCTACCTCCAAGAAGAGATAACATGGGGTGGGGAACCCTCAAAGATTTGTGGACTGCTGTTGCTATTACTAACCTATGTATACCTATGGGTGAGGCTTCAGGAAGGCCTTGCACTGTCCAAATCTTCATGGCACAGAAGATGGGGAAAACTGAATTGATGATTTTTAAGAAGAAGAGATACCTATTTGCAACAAATCTCCAAACTATCTGAGGGTGGGAACTTTTTTTTTTTCCCAAAGCAAACAGAACAAAATAAAGTCTGTCACATTGCAAGGCCTCGTGGTGGCGAAGACTGGCTTCTCCGGGGCTGGCTAGCAGAAGTGGACAAACAGCTTACCAGTTAGTTTGGTCTTCGCACTGTAACTTCCATAGTATTTTCCATCAGTGTTTGGAGTGTGACACTCATACTCGCCAGCGTCCTGCATCTGGAGCTTTGAGATGTGCAACAGGACTGAGTTGTCCTGCAACCTCTCCACATAGATGTCCTTGTTTCGTACCCGCTGAGCGTACATTGCGTAAGAGAAGGTGTCATCGTTGGTGCTAATGATCTGGACTTCCCTGGTCGGGGCTGTCAGCAGGTAAACAGACCACTGGAAATGCTGCAGGGAAGGTCCCTGATGGCCAGTGACATGGCAGCCAATGCTGACTGGGTAACCTGCAGCTCTGTACAGCGGTCCTTTTTGAACGGTTACTTCCCTCTGGCCGACGCTGAGCTTAGCTTGCAAGTAGGAGAAAGAACGGGGAATAAAAATAGATTAGTGCTCTGGTTCCCAACGTACCCCATTATGTAGTTCTCTTTATTACAATTCTGGTAAATGAGATTGCAGGTTATTAGCAATAATCAACTTGAATGTTCACCACCTTCTTCAGGCTGAGCAGCAGTGGAATGACTTCATGAGTTAATTGTTCTTTTATAACTTTAACTTCCATAGTCATTTCTAGTCTTTTTACAAAGTTTAGCTTTGCTGGGCACGGTGTGGCATGCCTATAATCCCAGCGATTTGGCAGGCTGAGGCAGGAGGATCACAAGTTCAAAGCCAGCCTCAGCAGCTTAGTGAGACTCTAAGCAACTTAGCAAAACCCTGTCTCAAAATAAAAAATAAAAAAGGATTGTAGATGTTTCTCAGTGGTTAAACACTCCAGGTTTCAATCCCTGGTACCAAAATAAATAAATAAATAAAAAGTTCAGCTTTATCCTTGTAACATGGCCACATCTATAAAAAAATTCAGCTTACCTAAGTGCACTCATTTTAATGTAAATGCAATCAGTGTATGATAAATGACTTTTATATTATTTTATAGGACAATCAGCATGTAGCTCCTCAAACCTCAAATTCCAGGGTTATCTGTTATTCCCACAGAAGTGGTTGTTGGAGAGGCAAAGTCTGTGGCTCTGGCACGGGCAATCATTTTCCTACTGGTTGGTTGAAAATATTTGTAGTTCTTAGATCTTATGCAAGGTGGGCTAAAATTAGTATCTAAAGTGAAATGGCAGTAGTACTTCCCTTCTACACTGCAGTTTTGTTTTGTTTTTTTAAGTTCCTGGAGAGTCACTGTAGTTTTACTGAAAAGCTTCATAATGGATGACTATAAAGTCCAGTGTGATTTGGGATCGGAATTTATTTTAGTTCTTTTCTCACCAAAAGTTTTCAACTGGGACCACTGTGGAATGTTTTCTACTGAAACAAATCTTAAATATTAGGTCTAAAGGGGAAAATGGGATTAAATGGTAGCACTTTGTTAGAAAAAAAAAATTTGAAATCTAGCATTTTGCAGAAATCACCCAGTATGTTTTTATTAATGATTAATATTAAAGGACCAATTCCTTTTGTGTTTCAGAAAGAACACAGACCAATGACAAAGGGGCCACCAAGGTGGGCTAGATCTTTCATTAGGGTCAGGGTTCAGTGGATGGGGGAAAACAAGGTGGAAAGCATCAGAAGGGTCTAAAAGGGAGCCATGGCTGGTAGCATGGAGTTAATAGAGGTATAGAAGGTCCCCCGCTCCCCATGCTGGGGATCAAACCTAGGGCCTTATACATGCTAGGCAAGTGCTCTACCCCTGAGCCACATCCCCAACCCAGAATAGAGAGTTCTTAAAAAGAAGAGAATTCACAAGAAGCAGAACATCTGCTGGTTTTGTGCCTCCACAAAGAGTAAAGGAGACTACAATGGGGGGTGAAAGAACGAACAAGGCTCATCGTTGGAGAAAATCCCCGTTTATTGAGGAACAGCTCTGCATATTTATAGAGCCGGGGTGGTTTGACAGTTAGGATAGTTTAATGGTTTGACAGTTGGCATGGAGTGCTTTCTGATTGGTGGGTAAGGATCATGTGCACCAGCAGGGCTAATCTGATTGGTGGGTAAGGATCATGTGAGCCAGCAGGGCTAGTCTGATTGGTGGGTAAGGATCATGTGAGCCAGCAGGGCTAGTCTGATTGGTGGGTAAGGATCATGTGAGCCAGCAGGGCTCACCATTGGATGGCTCTTCTCAGGGGATGGGGAAGTTAGTCTTTGGACCCAGGGTGACTCCCAACAGGGGGAAAAGTGAAGGAAAGGAAAAATGACATTACAGAGTCCATGAAAAGGCTAAGTATAAGAATTTTAGATGAAATGGAAGCAATCCTAAGGGATAGAAGGGACCTACAAAACATAAAATGGGCAGAAAGTATAAGTGGTCACCTGACATAGTCATCTAAAAACTATGTGTATGCTCAATCTGAAACTGGTGAACAAGCTAACCTCACACAACCAGTCAACTAACCATACACATTGCCGGTAATCATTGAAAATACACTAATTTATTCATGGATCCCAATTAATGTGATATATTTATATTGTACTTTTTGTAATACCTAGAAATCAGAATTAGACCACTTGAGAAAAATTTAAATTATTCCTTACCAAAAAGATACACTGCAGAGGCAATTTAAAACATTTTTAGCAATGTCATCTTAGAGAAATGTGTGCACTCTTCATTAAGCCTCATGTAAGAGAATATTTATACCCACACTGTTCATTTTAGCCTCAAGCAAAGGGACTATGGTTATGTCCATCAACAGAATGGACACACTCTGGCACATTCATAAAATGGAATATTACACAGAAATAAAAATTAATGAATGATAGCTATTTGACATAACATGAATGACTATATTTGATTAAAGATGTAAGATACTTTTGAACCTTTTTGTCACATACAGACTGAGTCTACTGTTTATTACAGAGTTTAAAAGCAAGCAAAATCACATTGTATTTTTTAGTGATGCATATAAGGGTTAAAATTGCTTTTTTTTTAAACTAATCTTCTTTTTTTTTAAATGCCTTTATTTTATTTGTTTAATTTTTATGTGGTGCTGAGGATCAAACCCAGTGCCTCACGCATGCAAGGCAAGCGCCCTACCACTGAGCTATAGCCCCAGTCCTAAAATTGCTTTTTAAGAAAAGCTAGGAGGTGGTTATCATGAGAATCAGGAAAGTGATTGTGCAGGGAAGGATTGTGATCTGGTGGGAAGCAGAGCAAGATGGGTGGGACTTCC